TCTTTCTTTTTCGTTCCATTTGCTTTTTTTCTTTCTCTTCTACATTTTAGCCTTCACTTCTTTCTTTTATCTCTCACTAATCCTTTTCTTTCTTTTATTTGCTTTTTCGTTTTCTTTTTCCTCTTTCTAATTTTTCATTTTTTTTATTTTCATCTTTTCCCACTATAATTTTACATTTTCTTTTCTTTCTTTCTTTCTTTCTTTCTTTCTTTCTTTCTGTCTTTCTTTATTCATTTATTTTTTCACTTCTATCTCTTTCTTTCTTACTTTCTGTCGTAACCTAAAGGTTACTGAATAAGGAATAACCAAAACAGAGATCGGAAATGAAATGGTAATCTTTATAACATCAACAAAATACAATGCTCGCCAGCGACACAAAGTACGTAAACCACTGCTAGTGGTGGCCTACTTAGACAGCAACTCACAATAGTGTCCAACGTATTTATGAGAATTGGGACATACCCATTAATGTTCATAGGTACAGTTTATAACCTTTTCTTTCTTTCTTTCTTTCTCTTATGAGTCCTTCTCTTCTATTTCCTTTTCTCTCTCTTTTCATCTTTCTTTCTTTCTTTCTTTCTTTCTTTCCTTGACCACCCCATAATTTTCATATCTTCCTTCTTTCGAAAATATTTCCTTTTCGTTTCTGGAATTTTCTCTCATTTCTACTTCTTTCTTTCCTTCTTTATTTCTGTTCTCCTTTCTTTCTCTTCTGTTTTTTTTTTTTTTCAGTTTTCCTTTCTTCATTCCATCTTTCATCTCCTGCTCGTCCTCTCTCTCTCTTTATCTATATTCCATTCATTTCTTCTCCCGCCATTTATTTTTCTACCCTATTCTATTTTTTCACTCTGTTATTTCATTCATGACATTGCTCTCTTTATTCCCTCTCTGCTCTCAAATTTTTTCGGTTCCCCCTTCCTTAGATACTGTCTTTTCTTGCACTTTTCCTTTATTCATTTAAATATTCCTTAACCCGGCACTCCCTAAGAAGCAACAATATCTTCTTTCTTGGAAAAATTGCCGAAGATAAGTACAAAGTTAACATCAAATAGCGGGTATAAAATAAAAATATTTCTAAACGAAAATATAGTTGACTCGCATAAATCTCAGTTGTCACAAAAAAAAAAAAGAAAGCATAAAGAAAGATGTCCGCTTAATCACAACATTAACAAAATCTAAATATAAAAAAATCGGTGGCAAAAATTGCACTAAATTCTTTGCTTTTTTCCTGTCTGAACTCCACCTACTTGTTGCAACAGACAGGATCAAATACACACACAAACTCATAGAACGCATCTATATTCTTGGAGTTTAAGTCGAAGAAGTCATACAATATGTGAAAGATATTTTCTTTTGTTACGTTCTGCGTCCCTTCAGAGCATAGATGATCATGTCCTCTGGAATCCATATTGTATATTTAAAAAATTCGTTCGTACATTGAATATTGCTGCCATATTTGGTATAATGCTCTGACTGTATATCTCTAGATTCTTGACAAAATTCAAAGAAGGGTCGATAATATAATCGATCCTGGCCTGGTATTTAAATGATCCCCTCCTGACGTGACTTCCTCATATCATCAAAATGAAATTATTCCACAAGAAATTGTACTTTTCAATGTATAAATTTACCATTTACTCATGCATTGAATATGGTCTGAGGCTCCAGCTATATATCTTGAAATTTTCGACAAAATCCAAAGAAGGGTCTATAAAGTAATCGATCCTGACCTGTTATCTCGACTTCAGTGACTTTATCACCGTCGTGTTGTGGCTTTCCTCTGTTTTTTTGTTGTGAGACCGTAACATACCTACAACATGGACTCTTCCAGGACTATATAAAGTATGCGATATTACACTCTAGGAGAAGAAGAGGAAAGAGAGAGAGAGAGAGAGAGAGAGAGAGTATTCTAATACCGTAGTATCAGCCGCGTACGACTTCCAATATTGGACACTAGCACATAGTAAGCTCCGCTTACACTTACACAATCTTTGTAACCTTTTTGCTTAATATATCTTTCTTACCTCTAATCTGTGTTCCGTGTTTTCCTTCCGTGGTCCCAACTTTGGGTCCACATCACTTTTCTACAAATATTTTCATGGCAATTGCTCTAACGAGCTTTCCGCCTTGGTACCTCGATTGCATGAATTTAAGCGTGCTACTCGGTTGGCCAGTAGGTATCACCGTTTTACTGTTGATCTAGTTACATACAACCGTATGTTCTATTCTAATAGTTTCTTTTCTCACACCTTTTAGTCCTGGGTATGACAATAAATCTAGAAATAGGAGGTTTTAAAGAACGTGGAACTAACTTTTAAGTGATGTTGTTCCTAAGTCCACACTAGCACTTGTTAGGGTCCCAGCTATGGATAAATAGTGAACCCCCAAACAAAATCAGAATATTATGAATGGTATGGTAGAAATACCAGCAATATATCTTTATATTAAAAATATAGCTAACAATTGTTATTAATAACAAAAAGGAGAAACAATATATTTTATGTGTAGTTGAAGGCATACAATTGCATTCAAAATATATTTAGTTGAAGTCGTAAATTTGTGTTTAAAATATTTAGATTTTGGCATTAAATAACACATAGAGGTTGATATGCTGCTATACAAAATAAAGCACCCAACCAATTACATTTCTCGACAGTTTAAATCTTTTTTTCGTTTCCTGCTTCCCTGTCACCTACAATCTTGAAAAATTTAAATGCAACGCCTATCGTCATCTTCAGTCTCCTGAAACTTGTTCATTTATTGTCCTTTCTACACACTTCTTTTCACTAAAGTCTTTCTCATTCCCTTTCACTCCCCGTTGCATATTTATCTCTTTGCTTGGGCTGAAATGATGAAAGAAATACTAAAAACAATCTCCTGTCCTTTGTGGCTCTGAGCAATGATTACTTTTTTCTATCCTCTCCAATCCCTGACCTGACATCCATCTTTACATGTTTATTAAATAAAAGTAACTGGCTGTTTTTACTCTTACCCCTTTTGTCTTTAATATGTCCAGTGTGTTTCAAATTCTAAAAGACATGTATTCTCATTATGTTTTCTCATCCTAGCAAAGTTATTTAACCGCTGCCTGAAGGATAAATCCTTTCCAAACCTGTGGGAAAGTGTCAAGCGTACACCCGGGTATGCTAACCTCTCTCTCTCTCTCTCATTACAGAACCTTCAATCTCTTCAGTATCATCAGTAAGCTTCTTGAGGCCATAATCAGGTCGTCGAGCAACGCGAAAAGTATAAACTCTTCAGCGTCGAGCAGTATGAGTTTCGGTAGGCCGTTCTAACTACTATCACCCACAGAATCAGTGAGGTTCCTGACGACAAACACACCATAAGGATCATAGAACTATATATCACAAAGATCTTCGACAATTTGTGGCACAAAAGCTTACTACACAAGGTCTCTATTTTTGGAACCATCGAAAGGGTCGTCTCGATCATGAATACCTTCGTAACAGGTAGTTACCAATGGCCAATCCTCCAGTGCCCTAGAAGTCAACGAGGTAATCCTCTGGGGTCACTACTCGGACCAATTCTCTTTTTGATCTACATAAATATTCTGCCTAAGAATATACTCAGATCATTTGTAAACGTTTATGCCGATGCTACCACTATATACGGGCGCACCTCTAAAACTCTCGATGGTCAGAGATTGGTGACCGAACTCTCCTTAGATCTTGCACAAACTACACAATGGGGTAAAAACTGGTTGCTTACATTCAATGCCTCGAAGACCAAGATAGTTACATTCAATCATCATTGACCGGACTCCGAACTGACACCAATCTGGATGAACGGAGGTCCTCTCAGGGAAGCACCGTATCTTGAAAGACTGTTGGGCCTCACACTCACACCCGGCCTCAAGTGGAACTTGTACATACGATATATTGCTAAGGATTCGGGTACCTGTACCGCGCCATTAAGTACCTGACCTCTCCTGCTATCCTCTATCTTTACAAGGGCCAGATCAGGCCAAAAATGGAGTATTGTTGTCATATTTGGGTGGTAGTTGCCCAGAGCTGACTCTCCAGCCTTACATAGTGGCAAACCACCCCCATTTCCTTCATATGCAAGAAGGTCTACTTGAACAGCTTCGCGCGAACTACTTCCCTGTGGAACCGACTGCCAACGGGGTGCTTCTCCGATCACTACAATCTTAACCTGTTCATGCCTAGAGTTAATCGTTTCCTTCCATTTCTATACACACAAATGGCCTCCAAACGTAACCCTATACCTCGAATGGCTCCCGCGCCTTGTAAAAGGTGAACCCCGCTATAAAAAAAAATTATGTTCTTTTTGTTAGCATTTTCTTTAAAATTTCTCTCACATCATATTTCCATTGAAACCTCAGCATCCTTCTCTAGAAACACATCTGCAGATTCAAGTCCCATCTTCACCGGTAAGGACATTGTCCAAGATTCACTGTTATAAAGGAGAACTGGTATTAAATGGCAGTTCAGCACTCTAATTTTTGTTTTGAAATTTCCTTAATACTTTGCTTAGCTTTTAGAAAACTTTTTTCGCTATTCCAATGCTCCTTCGGATTTCGATATCAGATTTTCCGAGGTCTGTTAAAAAGCTTGCTAGATAATTAAATTTATGTACTTACGAGATTTTGACATCTCCAATTTGTAGCTCGCATCTTGGGTTTTTAGTTTTTTATTATTATATAAAAGCATAGAATCGCAAACTGTCGGGCATCTGTATTGAAAATATTCTTGCGTGACTGCTTTAGCTGTCTCGCAGACAAGTCCTTAGTATGAATAGTTCGTTCCTCAGTGCACAGCCATTCTTGTAGACGAAGTTAGCAGTCGTCAGTAATTCAATCTTTGTTGATTTTCCTGACTGCCGCGTCCAGGTACCAATCTCAAAGAAGCAAAACAAATATCGACATTTAAAAGGTATTTTATTTCAGATGATTTTGATTGTTAACTGTTTAATTATTCTTTAGTAAACGACGAACTGATTCGTTCGAGAAACGTCAGGCTTTCGGCCATATCACGTTGAAATACCAGTCCCTGTACGATCACCGTAGTTAAGCAACGTCAAGCCTGGTCAGTACCTAGATGGGTGTCCGCTTTTGAATACCAGGTGCTGTAAGCATGGATGTGCGAATGGTGTAATAGATAAGAGCTTGAAATTCCTGATAGGTACATTATATTAAAAAAAATCAATTGTGAATGAAATAAATTAACCTCTTCTTCTCTTAGCTATGGGATAATCAGTAAGACTTTATTATCTACTCCCCACCACCGCATCAAAAATGCCGACAATCTAAAAGTATTTTATGGCCTTAAATAACCTGCATGGGTTGTTAAAGCGTAGAAAACGTGTCAATCAATCGGGACATGTAGTAATTAGATGTTTATCTTTCCCTCTCATTCCCCCTTTTTTGGGGGGGGTAGAAAACATTGTTTGATGACGATGCGTCCATATATCGTACCCGTCTACCTATTTTAAATAAAAATGATAAACATGTTGTCAGATAAGACTCTAGAGCTTAAATATAATTACTACTAAGGTAAGGTTCACCAGCAATACCTCACGATATTACCAACTTTTGCTTAAGATTCGCTTTCGTTCTTTATCTGTTTCTTTCGTTCTTTCTTTCACACAGACATATACACACACATCGACCTACACAGGTACTATCGTATCTATGCTAGTAGAGTTAGACTGGCTAACACATCGTGTCATTCTTTTCCTTGAATATCTACTTTGATAATTCTCGACTTGCAATCAATTATTGATGAGTGACTTAAAGATAAGACTTAATATCGTTTAAATCATTCAGCTGATAAGTCGAATAGAGGATTATATAAAATGGATTTAGCCCTAGAGATATCTGTAAATAAAAACTTGTAGGGAAGAAACTTGTTTTTAATTTTCTATAAATTGTTATTGCTTACGAAAAAATTTGTATAATCAAACTGGTCGGAGAGCCGAGTTTGAATTCCAGTCAAATCCTTTACGCTCACTTACTTGCCGATACCCTTGGGAAAGTTATGAATCCTTTTTTTTCTCTCCACCTCGTATCAGCTATGAGTAAATAGCAGGACAGAACGGGTTCTATACCCTTGGATGGCAACTGATCTGCCGCAGAAAGAAATGGCAACCTACTGCGGGGAAAAAATCTGCCTCGTCAGTCATGTATCGAAAGATACATGATCGCCTAAGCGTGTATCACGCATGGTACGTAACTGACTGACTGATTATAAAATGGTGTCGTTATTATTGCATATTTTAGTAGTCAGTGGGCGCCAAGTGAAGAAATAATATTATTCCTTTCTTTACATCTTTGAAAAATTGGTGTCATTTACACTATTTACATTATTGTCCTCATCTTTGTCGCCATATTTATTACAACGTTTCGGCTACTGTACGCTCCGGCCTTCTTCAGGTAGTTGGAACGTCGAACTGAACCCTTTATTTTGCTCACTGGGGTAGACTGTTCTAGTTTCACGTGCCATGTTTTAATGGATGTCTCCTGTTTATTCCCCTCTCCAAGTTCTCCACTGCGGTAACCGGGTATTGAACTCACACTCTTTGGGTCCTGTCACTGGATCTAACTAATGCCTTTATCCACTGTACCATGTTTCATTTATTGACACTATTTTTCTTCCGTTTTCTTCTTTTTTATTAATTTTTCTTTGTTGCTTTATTTCTTTATCTTTCTTTCTTTTTTCATTCCATGTCTTTTTCTTTCTTTCTTTCTTTCTTTCTTTCTTTCTTTCTTTCTTTCTTTCTTTCTTTCTAGTTTCTTTCTTTTTCTTTCATAGAATTATTTTCTTCTTTTTCATTTGTTTCTTCTCCTTGATTTATTTTTTTCTTTTTCATTTTCTTTCTTTCTTTCTTTTTTTCTTTCTTTCTTTCTTTCTTTCTTTCTACCTTCATTTTTTTCTTTCTTTCTTTCTCTATTCTTTTTCCGTTCTTTTTGTCTTTCTTTCATTTTTATCTCATTTTTCATTCTTTCTTTCTTTGCACTTTGTTTTTTTTTTGTTTTTTTTTCATTTTCCTTATTTCGCTTCTTTTTCCTTGCATTTTCTTTTCTTTGTTTCTTTCTTCTTTTGTGTTTATTTTAAAATCCTTGACACTGTTAACGAAAAAAAATATTATGAGCTTTAGCAAAATTATCTTTGTACAGTTAATCAATGGAAGCGTAGCACAACGGTTAACACGCTTACCCTGCGGAGAAATTCCCAGTTATAATGCGTTCTGTTATCACCGGAAGCCCTAGTCATGTAACCGGCAGACCAAGCTAAATTAAATAAATATATTGCCGTATGTCTCATTACTGCGGTCAGACTAAACTAAGTCTCTTAACCAATTACTAATATGCTTCTAAAATCGAGCTTATCCATGAGGGGTATATTAATATCACGGCGAGAAAAGTAAAGGTCTTTAGATATACCATCAAGAACATAATGAGATTAGCATAAAAAGCACGCCCACATTCGTTATGTCGGGGAATGGTATCCAGATTTTGTCATTTGCCAAAAGCCAGAGTTGAAAGGTTATTGAGTGCAGCACGTGTCAAATGTCACTTCTTTTACTTCGTTTAACGGAAAATCCGCCTTCGTGTTTTTGTTATTATTTGCATTGGTCAGATTAGCCCTCTAAAGCGATACCCATTACTACGATGATGTGGATGAATGTTTTTCTCTCTTGTGAGACAGTCACCGTAAGATAGCTGCCCCCCTCCCCGCGTCTGTCTATTTCAAACCGCTCTTCTTTCTTTCTGTATATCAGATAGTTCTAGTACATTCTGTATCCGCATCCTGGGTATGACGATAAACTACGTCCAACAGCAAGGCCACTGATCAGGAGGTTTTGAGGAGCGTGGAACCACATCTTAATTGCTGGTGTTCTCAGGTCCACACTAACCCGGGGTGGTCGCACCAGCTATAGGTAAATAGTTACCCCCCACCACCACCACCACCAAACTGGGGTCAAAACACTATGAAAGTGTAAAAATGGGGTTTAATACCAGAAATATTTTGTAAAAAATATATTACCATCAATACATTTTTGAAAAATAAAATATTACCAGCAATAAAAATTTTGTCGACATTAAATAACCCATTGAGGTTGATATGCCGTAAAACAAAACCAGACCAAATTTGCTGTATTCCCGTCTTCCAAATTTTCCATTTAATATTACAATTTTGATAAAAAGGATTAATATAATTTATTTCTTCTAAAGTTTCATTAATAGTCAGGTACAGTTCAAAACATTAGTACGCAAAACCTACCTATGAAAAGAGATAATTGTTAAGTAATAGTATTTTTTAGAAATTCATGTAAAAAAAGTTGCAGTGCTTAAGAAAGATTTAAGAAAGTATTATTACCAGAATGAGTTTGATTTTTAGTAGATATCTCACACCTTGATACTTATATTAAATTAGGTATGACTCAGTCAGTGCTCTGTCTTAGGACCAGTTGACAGTGTTCGTACTCGGATTCCCCACTTTAATCACGAACTTGTGTCGCATCCCGTCTAAGTTGGGAAGCCTGGGTAAATACCTAGCCGATTGGACTTAGACTATTCGATGTCTGGCATGCAAATGACACGGCCTCTGTCTTCAGGCAGAGATGACTCAGTCGCAGCTGTGTTTATGAATAGAGATTCGGAAGAGAAAAACAGACAAGGAAATTGCCCGTTCCTCTCAGTTGTGGGGAAAGAGTAAATTTTTGGACTAGTTGCACGAGTATTCGCGCTCGAGTTCCCCACGTTAAACCTGACCTTATGTTGCATCCCGTCTTAGTGGGGAGGCGTGGGTAAATATCTAGCTGTTTCGAGCCAGGCAGTTCGCTGTTTGGCTTGCAACTGACAAGACCTCTGTCTTCAGGCAGAGATGACTCAGTCGGAGCTATGCCTACAGGCAGAAAATCAGCTGAGAAAAACAGACAAGTAATGTACCCGAGTCCGCTTTTGTTGGGGTTGGGTAAATTTTTACAATTGGCCTGTGTTGACACGTTCGGGTAACCCACAATAATCCCGACCTTGTGTCACATCTCATCTCAGTGGGTGGGTGGGGGGTATTGGGTAAATACCTAGACGTTTGGAGTCAGGCAGTTTGCTGTCTGGCTCGCGACTGACAAGACCTGTCTTCGGGCAGAGTGCGGCTCAGTTGGGGCCCCTGTCTTCGGATAGAGACTCGGCTAAGTAGAACAGACAAGTAAAATGCTCGTTAACCGTGTTTGCAAGGAATGGGTAAATTTTGAACAAGCGGCCCGAGTTTACACGCGCAGGTCCCACACATTAGACCTGACCTTGTGTCGCATCCCGTTTAGTGGAGTGTCATGGGTAAATACCTAGTCTTCAGACGAATACAGACGTCACGACAAGTAGCCGAAGTGTTACGTATAGAGAATCCTTATACGAAGTACGTTATGTAAGTAAGGGTGTGTTATAACTATAGACATTGAATAGTGGCGTCATAATCTACATGTTTCTGAAAGAAAATCCGGTATTAATTACAGAAATTAAAATAAGAATCCTGTATCAATTGTAGTTATCTAAAAATATTCCGGTATTAATTAGAAAAATTAAAATAAAAAATCCGGTATTAATTAAAGGTTTCTAAAAGAATTCGGTATTAATTATAGGTTTCTACTTATAACACATTAATAGACGTCGTTTCATTCTTTTTTAAGGACGCTGGACATGAATCTATGTCTATAATTCTCAAAATATGTGTGCATGTATGTAGGTATGTAAGTGTGTGTGGGTGCGCGTGTGTGTGTAATCGGATGTTGCTTAGGGGTTTCCACAGTTTTCATCCAATTTCGACGATTTTTTTTTTTTTGATAGATAATTCTTCAGTACCGGTTTTAAGTCCAAATTCATCGGAGAATATTACAACATTGAAGGGGAAAAATCGAAAAAAAACTGATTTTTTTACACTTTGCGCAAAAATCAAAGGTAAGATTTAATGTCTGTAAAAAACAGCGTACAATCAATTTAGAGAGTTGAAATCTAATGCAAAAGATTATTAGAATTATAAAAAAATATATATTATAAATAAAAATTGTTGTATATTATTATGATGACGGTCCATGGAAGAGGTTCCTTCCTTGCAAGATTGAGAACGCAAAATC